AAATTTCAATGTTATTTCAGTTTTCCTTCTAACTCCAGTGTTAATCAATGAAAAAAAAAACTTGCAACTCTTCAGAAATGGTTTTCATTTACTCTAAAATGTGATAATCTTTGTTTTTGGCAAAGAATAACATAAGCATAAGTATTTTCAACCCACCTCTCTGAGTTAGCAGGTCTGCTGGTGACCGGTTTACAGATACAGACTTTGTGAAATATTCTGTACATCAGGTAGATTAACCCAACACTAAACGGGGTGAAGAGGTCAAATAACTTACACACAAAGTGACCACCTGTAACGAATAAAAAACAAGAGGCCCATGGGCCACATCACTCACCTGAGCATTAAGGATAGGAAAAAGTAGAAAATAGCTTTTTATTGTAAAGTTTAAAACCAAAAGTAGTCCTATGACCAATCATGGATTTGCTATTTTTTTAGAAAATGATTTTTAAAGAATTTTCCTATATATATCTTTAAAAACTTTGGTCGGCCATTTTGGCCCCGCCCTATCCCTGGGGGTCATGATTTGAACAATATTGAATCTACAGTACTCAAGCATGCTTCCATATAAAGATGATGAATTATGGCTTTGTCATTCTTGAGAAGAAGATGTTAAAGAATTTTCCTTTATATTTCTATGTAAAAGTTTGGTCGGCCATTTTGGCCCCGCCCTACCCCCCGGGGGTCATGATTTGAACAAACTTGAATTTACACTACCTGAGCATGCTTCAATAAAAATATGATGAATTATGGCTTTGTCATTCTTGAGAAGAAGATGTTTAAAGAATTTTCCCATATATTTCTATGTAAAAGTTTGGTCAGCCATTTTGGCCCCGCCCAACCCCGGTGGGTCATGATTTGAACAAACTTGAATCTTCAATACCTGAGCATGCTTCCATATAAATTTCATCTTTCCTGGCACAGTTGTTCTTGAGGAGAAGATTTTTAAAACATGCCAATAAATTTTCATTAATTCCAAATTATCTCCCCTTGATTGAGGGCTTGGCCCTTCATTTGAACAAACTTGAATCCCCTTCACTTAAGGATACTTTGTGGCAAGTTTGGTTGAAATTGGCCCAGCGGTTCTTGAGAAGAAGTCGAAAATATGAAAAGTTTACAGACAGACAGACAGACGGCCAGACAAAATGTGATCAGAAAAGCTCACCTGAGCCTTCGGCTCAGGTGAGCTAAAAATATCAAAACATACCTCAATGACTGAAAAAAAGATTCATCATTACTGAATGAACCAGAAGTCTCTGTCGAGACTGTAGCTCTACTGGTTTATACTTAAAACAAAGGAAGAGAAAAGTAGCAGTTGGGACTTGAGACTTTAAATCAGCAATAAATAGAAAAATGATCCTTGCCACTCATCAAAATAAAAACTGATGCACAGAATTATGTATCTTAGTATAGTCTACTTGTGTGCCAAGCTATATTGAAATCGAACTAAAACTGTAGGAGGAGTAGCATTTTGAAACAATTTCACACAAATTTCTATTCTTAGTAACCATGGCAACACCATTCATTGAAATCAACAACCAATGCACAGAATTATGTATCTTAATGTAGTCTACTTGTGTGCCAAGTTATATCAAAATTGGACTAAAACTGTACGAGGAGTAGCATTTTGAAACAATTTCACAAAAATTTCTATTTTTAGCAACCACAGCAACACTGTTTATTGAAATCAAAAACTGATGCATAGAATTATGTATCTTAATGTAGTCTACTTGTGTGCCAAGTTATATTGAAATCGAACTAAAAATGTAGGAGGAGAAGCATTTTGAAAGCATTTCACAGAAATTTCTATTTTTAGTAACCATGGCAACACCGTTCATCGAAATCAAAAACCGATGCACAGAATTATGTATCTTAGTGTAGTCTACTTGTGTGCCAAGTTATATTGAAATCGAACCAAAACTGTAGGAGGAGAAGCATTTTGAAAGAATTTCACAGAAATTTCTATTTTTAATAACCATGGCAACACCGTTCATCGAAATCAAAAACCGATGCACAGAATTATGTATCTTAGTGTAGTCTGCTTGTGTGCCAAGTTATATTGAAAGAGGACCAAAATTGTAGGAGGAGTAGCATTTTGAAACAATTTCAAAAAATTTCTATTTTTAGTAACCTCGGCAACACCGTTCATCGAAATCAAAAACCGATGCACAGAATTATGTATCTTAGTGTAGTCTACTTGTGTGCCAAGTTATATTGAAAGAGGACCAAAATTGTAGGAGGAGTAGCATTTTGAAACAATTTCAAAGAATTTCTATTTTTAGTAACCTCGGCAACACCGTTCATCGAAATCAAAAACCGATAACACAGAATTATGTATCTTAGTGTAGTCTACTTGTGTGCCAAGTTACATTGAAATCAAACCAACACTGCAGGAGGAGTAGCATTTTGAAAAATTGCTTACAGACAGACAGACAGACAGACGGACGGACGACGGACGCATTACTATCGCATAAGCTCTTCTGGTCTCTGACCAGTAGAGCTAAAAATATTGAGTAACAACTCACCAAAACATTCAACTGTTTAACGCAATCATGAAATTGGGAACTAGAGTTCTAATAATGAGATTTATTAATTTTTGTCAAACATTAGTGGGTACAAGAATTAGTAATACAAAATGAGCTCGTATTATGATATAAACCACTAAAATAAAAATATTTCCAGTAAACTGTTGCAATTTTTGAAAGAATATATATATTCCGTACCTGGTCTAAGAATGGATATGGCAACTAAGAACTGACAAAGATAAAGCTGTTTGGACAAAATCTCCTGGATGTTTTCCTGTCCTTCAACTGAGAAACCCTGTCAAACGGAATCACAGAATTGATTGCCTTTAGAATACATAAGTAGTAACAGGATTAGTACCCTGGTACAGGAGTTACTATGTAATGAAGTGACATTGAAAATAAGGAAACCTACCCCATCAGCCATCACGAAGTAGACGCCTTTATTGTCCGTGTTTTCTTTGACGAATTTGATAAATTCTTCCTGGTTCTCAGGTTTAAATATATCTCCATCTCCCTCGATTCCTCCCACACCTGTAAAAATATAAACAAAGTTTTTAATACAGGTAAACAGAAATATCATAAACTGTACATGTGTTATCATTTACCCATTTTCAAATATCTACAAAATAAATTTTCTCAGAAAATTGAATTTGTACCATAGTGAGGCTCGAACATTTCAGGGGGACCAGCAAAGAAATCCTCCAGCTTGAAGTCACACGGACCTTTCAGGGTAAACCCAAAGCCTTTGGCATCTCCCTTGGTTCTCCATAAGACGTACTCACTGAAGCCACCAGGACCAGCACAGATATCAGCGAAAAACAAGATATCTGACGGCTTCAAGAGGGGTTTCTATTAAATAGAAATATAGACATATCAACAATAAACAAGATATCTGATGGCTTCAGAAGGGGTCTTTAATAAACAGAGGTATAGAGATATCAGAAAAATCAAGATATCTATATTAGGTTTCAGCAGGATTCTCTAAACAAGATGCCCATGGGCCACATCGCTCACCTGAGCACATGAGGTAATTAAAACACACAAATAAGCTCAGTATTTAAATGTTTACTGGTGCGGGAGGGGGATTTGAATTCTCTATTACTTGAGAATGTCAATATATCAATAAAGAATACATTTATAATTTTGCCATACTTGAAAAGAAGATTTTTACAGATTTTTTCAGCAGATCACTTGATCTCCCATTGTGACCCCTAGCTAATACCTTTTTAAAAGATTTTTCCTTTATAGTCCTATAGATGTAAAACTTTGACCAGCCATTGTGCCCCCTTCCCCTTGGGGGTCAAAATTTGAACAAACTTGAATCTACACTACCCAAGGATGCTTCCACATGAGTTTCATCATTCTTGGCCCAATGGTTCTGGAGAAGAAGATTTTTAAAGATTTTTCCTAGATATATTCCTATGTAAAATTTTTATCAGTCACTGTGGCCCAACCCCAACCCAGGGGTCAGGATTTGAGCAAACTTGAATCTACACTACGTGAGGATGCTTCAACATGAATTTCATCTTTCTTGGCCCAATGGTTTTCGTGAAGGTTTTTAAAGATTTTTCCTAAATATTCCTGTGTTAAACTTTGACCATCCATTGTGACCTACTCAATCCCTGGGGGTCATGATTTGAAAAAAAAAATTGAATCTACACTACCTAAGGATGCTTCCACATGAGTTTCATCACTCCTGGCCCAATGGTTCTGGAGAGGATTTTTATAGATTTTTCCAATATATTCCTATGTAAAACTTGAATCAGCAAATGTGGTCCTGCCAAACCCCCAGGGGTCAGGATTTTAAAAAAATGAATCTACACTACCTGAGGATGCTTCCACAAGAGTTTCATCTTTCCTGGCCCAGTGGTTCTTGAGAAGAAGATTTTTTTTAAAAATGCCATTAATATTTCACTTATTCATTATTATCTCCCCTTGGAAGGGGGTGCGGCCCTTCATTTGAACAAACTTGAATCCCCTTTACCCAAGGATACTTTGTAGCAAGTTTTTTTTGGAATTGGTTGAGTGGTTCTTGAGAAGAAGATGAAAATGTGAAAAGTGTACAACACCGCCAACATCTACAACTACGACGACAGACAATCGAAAAATTCCGATCAGAAAAGCTCACTTAAGCTTGAGTGTTTGGCTCAGGTGATCTAACAAGAGGCCCATGGGCCACATCACTCACCTGAGTAGCTTTGATCATTCTGTTCTTTACCTGGGATTTTCCCCTTGCAATAATCTATCATCATTCCAAATTATGGCCCTGTCCTATCCCTGGGGATCATGCATTGAACAATTTAGAATCTACACTATCCTAGGATAATTTCACATAAATTTCAGCTTTTCTGGACCAGTGGTTCTTGAGAAGAACAATTTTAAAAATATTTCTTTGTAAAACTTTGATTACATATTGTGGCCCCACCCAACCCCCGGGTGTCATGATTTGAACAATTTAGAATCTACACTATCCTAGGATGCTTTCACATAAATTTCACCTATACACATAAGTTTCAGCTTTTCTGGCCCACTGGTTCTTGAGAAAAAGATTTTTACAGTTTTTTTCCATATATTTCTTTTGTAAGACCTTGATTCCCTATTGTGGGCCCGCCCATACCCCGTGGGTCATGATTTGAATAATTCAGAATCTACACTATCCCAGGATGCTTCCACATAAGTATCAGCTTTTCTATCCTAGTGGTTCTTGAGAAGAGATTTCTAAGTTTTTTCTACATATTTCTATTTAAAACTTTGATTCCTTATTTTGGCCCTGCCCAACCCCAGGGGTCATGATTTAAACAATTTAGAATCTACACTATCCCAGAATGCTTCGACATAAGTTTCAGCTTTTCTGGCCCCGTGGTTCTTTAGAAGAGATTTTTTCAAGACCCCACCCTATTTTTGTCTTCTCTTGATTGCCTCCTCTCGGGAGGGGACTTGGCTTTTCATTTTTACAATTTAAACTCCCTCCACCCAAGGATGCTGTGTACCAAGTTTGGTTAAAATTGGCCCAGTGGTTCTTGAGAAGAACTCAAAAATGTGAAAAGTTTACAGACGGACGAACAGCTAGATGGACGGATGACAGACAAAATGTGATCAGAAAAGCTTCCTTCAACCTTTGGCTCAGGTGAGCTAAAAAGTAGGTCACCATGACCTACTTTTGAGTTAACATTCCATTCTTCCTCAATATACCCATAGAGAATTCTGACCCAATGATATGGTTCCATTCTACCTCTATATACCCATAGAGAATTCTGACCCCATGATATGGTTCCATTCTACCTCAATATAGCCCCAGAGAATTCTGTCCCCATGATATGGTTCCATTCTACTTCAATATACCCATAGAGAATTCTGACCCAATGACATGGTTCCATTCTACCTCAATATACCCATAGAGAATTCTGACCCAATGATATGGTTCCACTCTACCTCAATATACCCCCAGAGAATTCCGTCCCCATGATATGGTTCCATTCTACCTCAATATACCCATAGAGAATTCTGACCCAATGATATGGTTCCATTCTACCTCAATATACCCATAGAGAATTCTGACCCAATGATATGGTTCCATTCTACCTCAATATACCCATAGAGAATTCTGACCCCATGATATGGTTCCATTCTACCTCAATATACCCATAGAGAATTCTGACCCAATGATATGTTCCATTCTTCCTCAATATACCCCCAGAGAATTCCGTCCCCATGATATGGTTCCATTCTACCTCAATATACCCAAAGAGAATTCTGACACCATGATATGGTTCCATTCTACCTCAATATACTCATAGAGAATTCTGACCCAATGATATGGTTCCATTCTTCCTCAATATACCCATAAAGAATTCTGACCCAATGATATGGTTCCATTCTACCTCAATATACCCATAGAGAATTCTGACCCCATGATATGGTTCCATTCTACCCCAAAAGGGCCACTGAATACAAACAACATGACCTTGCAGATATAGAGAAGAAAATTCATTACCTGTACACGTCATGTAAAATTGATACTGACGTTATCTCCCTTGGAAGGTTAGAATTCTAATATCGACATCTAAGGATGAATTAAGCCGAAATGACCCAGTCAGGAAAAAATGAAAATGTGAAAAGTTTGACAGATGGCTGGATGAACAGATTAATGGATGCCGGAAAACAGTTGATCAGAAAAGCTAACGAGTTTCAGCTTAGGTGAGCTAACAGAAGTGAACAATCAGTCGAACAATATAACCACCCCTGTCAACGCGCGATCGGCAACGCAGATCAAAACATTCAAGAAGAAAGTATTGTAGTGAGTAAATTTAAATAGTTTTGTATGTGCTGGAGTGTGACCAGCTGAAAATAAAATTAGAAAACATTTAATTTAGATAATTATCTACAGTTTAGGATTTACCGAGAGTAAATTTGTTTCACAGTTTCTGTGCAAATGCTACCGATCAAATCGACAATGTTCAAAATATCAAATTTTCATGCTTTGAAATAGTTTATTGTTGTTATTACCTACGAACATTTGCTGCTTTTGTTATGTAACGGTTCTTGGAAGTATGAACTATATGATTTTAAAATTAAAACTACATACATTATCTTAAAACAAATTTTAACTGGAATATTTGACAACCGCGAGGCGATCGTCAACGACATGTATCTTTTTATGAAGCGATCGTACAACATAGAAATAGCGATCGTACAACACACGAAATAAGAATAGCACAAATCAGAGAATCTTGTTGTCAAAAAGTTTATTTTGATATACAATAGATATTTTACATTTAAATTAGGCAATCTGTCATCGTTATATACCTTTTTAACTCTTAAAATTGTCCTACATTAATATAGAAAATTGAAATTAACTAAGTAGATTAAAGAGATACAATTTAAAAAGAGTATGATGGCTAACAAAAATGTAAAGTAGAAATTTTACCTCAATTTTCATAACAGTGTCACCCCCCCCCCAAAAAAAAACCCCTAAATATCTTAGATGGTTTATCATGCAAAGTGTAAGTAATGGAACATTTTCTAAACTCAAAATTTAATTTCGGAAATGTGTTGTGTGGGATGGAGGGAGGGGGTGTTATGATCCAAGTTCTTGAACAACCAAATTTTATCCAAAAATTACCAGCTGCCTTACCCGCATTTGACTATATACTGCAAAACGGGGACAACCAGTCTATTGGTTTATCCCCCCAATTTCAAATTAGCCCCCCCCCCCTTCAATTTGCTTCCGACGCCTTTGAAAGTAAAGTTTTCACCCCACCCCACCCCCGACTCTACACTGTGCATGATATCAATGTTGGCAAATAATTTAAAAAAAAAACTAATAATAATGGCAGTTTTCAGTAAATTAAAAACTAGAACTGTCCAATAGGGACAAAAACCCCCGCTGGGTTTTTCAGAGTAGGTGCTAATTCAGAAATATTTTATGGATCTAGTAAGAGGTGTTCACTATTGTCTAATAAAGTGCCCCGCCACAGCAGCTTTAAATTTTTTATTGCATATTCTATGAAATAATGGAAATGCTACAGTCTAATTAAAAAAAAAATCAAAAATTAATTATTCTTTAGACTATAAAATTCTAAGTGAGACATGATGACTGCAATTTGTTGCAAATATATAAACATAGGTAATCAGAGATTACAGAGCTCACCTTAACGAATGTTGTCTTTAAGTAAGGCAAAGTCACACAATTAACCAACAAGAAGTGTACATTCCAAAGATGAAAATATTTAAGCAATTTTAATC